AGGAGGACAAACAAGCGTGTCAACTTATTTTGGCTTTGAATATGTAGAAATACAGAGATTGAATCCGAAACCAAATTATACTTCACGGCTTTTTGAACTACATATTATCATACAACACGTTCTACCTGGTGCGGTCCAACCCATGGCCCGTTGATCATTAACCTAGTCCGAATTTTAGTCAGATATTGTAAAACCATAAAAAAGGGGTTGAATGCCATATCCATTTGATTAGGAGATCCAGTAGTAATCCACGTAAAAATTGTCACATGTATAGTGTAGGAATTCGAAAGGTTAGCAAGAATTTCGTGCCGGTTCTTTATTGCTATTTATCTATTACCTACCCTACCTTCAAAGGTCTATTACCCAGTACTGTATACTACACAGAAGCATTCAATTTTTCGATCAATTTAACAAAAGATATTTTATTGCTGAAAGGGTTAAATTGAAGTGTAGGCTGAATATTCGTTATATTCTAGGGAGGCGATTCCCTTAAATGTGATATATATCCGCGACATACAAAGATATATATATATATATATATTTTTATGATAAGACAGACAGCAAGGTAGCACTAAATTGAAGGTACTCTAACTTTATAACATATGAACAAGATGTGTTATCGACCTATTTTTGCTTTGAATCTTTGGAAATCCAGCTTGAAACCAAAATGTTCTCAAACTTAACGGCTTTTTCAAAGGTATTCCTATACTCATAACTGCCCCTTGGCGATACATGCAGCTTTATGTACGCTAAAGTAGAACATGAGAACATTTTAGTAAAAATTTATATCTTTATACAAATGTATTCTACTCCTAATGTATGTACTTACCTGATTAAAGGAAAGGTATCAACTACATTTCTACAAGATATTATTAAAATTGGTCATGCCATTGAAGTGTTAAGCGATATAAACATGTTAAATTCAACAAAAACGGACTATTTTCAAATCACACCAAAATCAGGAAACACTATGTATTCCCCGAAAGTCCCCGTAAGTGATGGGTTCAAATGGGGTCAATCAATCAACCTGTTCCCTTGATTGGCTCACTCCCGCGAGATACGCCATTGATGCTGTTTCGCATTTAATTTACAAAGTTTGTTAAAATATTTAGTATCAATACAATTGATCTAGTTTACAACAAATAAAATTATTATACCACTGGAGGCACTGTGGGAGATCTGTGACCATTCTATAATTGCCAGGAAATCTCTGCACAGTCCGACCGAAAAACATCACCATGGATAGATAGTAAATGATGGATATGTAGAGTAAATAATAGTTTTAGGTTTAAGTAATGGCACCTAAGTGTATTTTAAACTGATACGTGATTAAACTTTTTTTATTTTTCATCTGTGGTTTTCGTCGATGATTCGTGACCCGGACGTAATATCGATATTCCTACCTCCCATTTATTATGCAGATTTCCAGACGAAGTGCAACATGTCTTAGGAAGGCATTAATTGATTAAAAACATGTTGGACCCAACAGGGGGTCGAACCCATGATATTAGCCGTACCTTCCCATCGTAACACCAAGGAGCCCGTCAATTTACAATGCGCTTCTAAACAAGTTATGCGAATATAACCATAATGCTAATGAAATTATGTTATAATTCCGTTGAATGTGATAACAGTCGATCGGCGGGTTACAAAGGGCAGATAACTTTGAATTTTTTATAACGCGCCCTTAACTTTTCCTAAAGGCAAGGCCTGTGATGATTATGGAGACAGGGCCGGACTGCGCACCTATCTAAATATTCTCATGTTTTCTTTTTATTTCAATTGCCCCTGTGGGGCATAGAGCGCACACATGTATCCGTTCCGATCAATTTTATTTATAAGCAATTAGTTGAACTGTCATACCAAAACAATCTATTGTTTCCTATTCAAATCAGGATCTTTAGCGTTTAGGCACTAGGAAACACATTTAACCATTTAGCAGCAGAGGCGTATGTCAACATCAATATGTTATTAGCTTTGTATAACACAAGTTGAACCTGCTTCTCATAATTTCTCCTACTTACTTTCTTAATAAATACTTGAGAGTACAGTAAGGTGTCCCAGTCCCAGTTACCTTGACTAATTTAGTTAGTCGTGTAAGCACGCTTTGGAATAGCATGGTGGGTCGAAGTTTTAAAATCCTTTTCCCAAACGAAGTTTTTCACGCTTATTTGTATTACTTTTATAAAAAAGTCACGAGTGTGATATGGATTTCTTATTTAGGTTTTTATTACGTGACATTAAAGTTAGATTTCGGCCCATTACAAAAAGCGATGTTGAACACATCTTTATTTCGCCTCCCCCGCTCGTCTTTGCCTAACTCAGAAATTGATGGATAAATATTTTTATGGACTCCCGAGATGAATTTTCTCGTATGTTTTGAATCTTTTTTACTTTTACGTTGGGACGTTTAAGGTTTAACGAGATTAGCTTGTTTATGATGTGCCCCAGGAATCGCTTACGCCGTCTTGTTTGTTTCGCTTTGAATTTTGCATAAATGGATTTGGATATTTCCTCTTGCTCTTTTACAATTCACTTTAATATATTTTCACAGAATGCTATTTGAAGTTAAGTTTTATAAAATGTGCTTTCGATTGAAATTTTAGTCTCCATTAGCCATAATCCAGGAGATAATTAACATTAAAAAGCCTTCTATTAAATAAATATTTTAACGGTTTAAAACTCGAAACATATTAATTAATTTAATTTAACTGCGACCCGACGCGGAAGATTTCATTCGTTAAAAGTGTTTTTGTTTTCAAGTACCAAGTACTCGCGTAAGCTACAGACTTAGCCGTCTATTAGTCAAGTACATTTATTTTTGTGTTATAATATAATAAACATCAGAGAAGAGAACAGAATAGAATAGAAGAGCCCGTTAATGAGTGTCTCACCAATACTTAACAAATCATATTATAACTTTAGTTTATTGGAATAAAGTTAATTTATGCAGATTAAGTAAGAATAACATATTAATGAGGATTTAAATAAAACACTTTAACGGTTTAAAACGCTATATATTAGTTAAACTTATTTGAAAATGATTTTGAACTTCGGCCCAACGTTTCAGGTGCCTTGCTGCTGCTGGTCACGGGTCACTGCTGCTGCAAAGTAAACTATAGACAGTATTTATATTAATATGGATTTAGGAAAACCTTTCATAGTATGTAAAAAAAAACAGCTCAACCAAGTAAAAGATTTCACGATCGACGAATAACACGTTTTTGAAATAAATCGATACTCTAGCAAAGGTATTAAATGTAGGAGAGTCCTCACAACAAGTGGTCACTTGGAACTCGACATCAAACATTATTTACCCTCTTCTACGGGTTCGAATCTTGACAAAAGCTTCTATCGATGTTTAGCTTTGAGAAAAACTTGCCATTTTATTTACGTTCCGATTAAAATACGAAATATAGCCTTTACTTATGATCGCCGTACGCACAAATGAATATGCTATATATATAAATAAAACACTTTTAAAACCATATAAAACGCGAAATATATTCGTGAACTTTGTTTTAACTACAGCGGGCGTTATGTTGTATTTAAATACAATGGTAATAAAATTAACTTATAACTATATCAGATAAAAGATCGCGATCCAGGTTCGAATACGCGGTAAAAATATTAAATTTTTGGGTTGGACAACTTAGTGAAATCCTCATGACCTGTCATGCGGCGAACACATTTCTGTGTCCGTGTCGCTGATTGGTTTTATTTTTAAATCTAATTACTTATAACAAATAGCTTGTAATTAAAGTGGACTGTTCATTAGACACTATTTGGACTGACGCAAGTCCAGAAATAATCTATAAAGAATAAACGGATTTTATTTATGAATTTAAATTCAAAATAATAACAAATTATTGGAAAAATACAAACGATCAGCCAACATAAGATCTTTATTCATTATTTACTTGTATTTTTTCGCTATAGTTTCTATCCTAGACGTATATTAGTGTTGAGTAGTCCTCACTTACGGTAACATCGTAATTAGATCATTAGGAACAAGGGCGAGGACAAACGAATGAAGATCAATGTTGTTTCTAGATAATTCCAGTGGTGCGTCACTCAGAAAGAATGATACCAAGCGACATATATATATTTTATCCAATGTAGAATGACACATTTGACAATTGACAATAGGGATGGGATTAAAATCGAGTAAATTCGATTAATTTTAGATTTCGTAGTATAAATCGATTATTGATTAAATATTAAATATGAACAGTTAAAACTTAATTAAAGTATTTAAATAAACATTTTGCAGAGCCGTAGTCACGGGCACGTGACCACGGCTGTGCAAAGCATCCGAAACGTCGGGCCGAATTAAAAATAATTTTCAAATATTTAACTATATATGTTTTAAACCGTTAAATTGTTTTATTTAAATGTGTACTACTCGCGTAAACTATAGACAGTATTTAATTCAAGTACGTTTTGTTACATAGTATTTTTATAATACATACCTTCTTATCTACTTACTATATAATACCTAAAAGTATAATATAATTTAAGAATTAATTTTGTTTAACAATTAATATTGTATACATATTATGCTACGCTATGAGTTACAACAATATATAATAATATTCTTTGTAGTATTATTAAGGCCAAAACTAGCGCAATGTCACATTATTAATTAAAATAGAATATAATAACAATAAAAAAATAATCGTATTTAGCAATAGACGTTACATGAATCTCAATACTATTAATATTAACAATTTTATAATACTTATTCAATGTATTAATACTTAATATCGGCTATATTATAAACTAGTACTCAAATTAACGATTACTCTACGTATTACGTTAACTTTGTTAAATAAATAAAATCAATAAAAAACTAAATGTCACCTTAAAAACGAAAATCTTATTTAAATCTTTAGTTACTTCCCTAAGGCACTGTACTACGATGTATAAGACTAATCGTGACTTTAGGAAACAGGTACAAAACTGCGTCTAATCATGCAATAGTGCTTTTAATAAAAATACTATAACCGTATTTTCTTCTTGTCGCTTCGTTCACACGTAGTATTAGTATCTGTCAGTCTATATAAACTTTTACCAGATGTGAACAGTATATTGTTATCCCTGTCAAATGTAAGTGCGCCCACATCATTCATGTATATCGCTTTTACAATTCTAGAATTGCCTAACTTCTTATCTATTATAACTTTATAAATACCGTCCAACCACCAAGTGTATATCACATCGTATCTATCTATAGCCAAGCCACGGAAATAGGGGTTGTAACTCAGCCATACAGTCTCGTCGTTCTTGCTAGCGAAGAGGCCATATCTACCGATTAACACAGTGACATAATCCTTATTAACAACGAATTTTTCAACCGGCATATGGTCGAAAACTACGTCGAAGTTATCGCCTTTCTTCTTCACAACTCTGTACTCTCCGTACCTCACGAAATAGACGTTGCCTTTATAGAAAATGCTCAGTACCGTATCCCCGCGGGAGCTGTACGGCGCGACTCTACTATCTTTAGTGTCTAGGACGTAAATTCCATCACTGCCTCCCAAATAGACTAATCCATTATTCTGGTCAATGTCGAACGTTCCAAAATTCATAATCTTTCCTGGAGTAATGATAGTATTGTTCACCGGATCGTCTATGTTGACGAAGCCGACTTTGTAATACTCTTGATCCTGTATATGAGGCTCGAAGCTGTAAAATAGAGTGTTGGTGGAGCGTAATAGGGCTAATTTGTGGATAACGATGCGATTCCTGAACGGCGCGTCTATGTCAAAGAGCTGTGTGATGTTGTAACAAGTGCCGTTGCCTCTGACACATGTTGGACACAGTTCCTGGGAAGCGGCTAATGATATCCCGAGGAAGAGCGCGATCAGCATGTTTATATCTGGAAAAGAAGATTTCTTATGTTACAATTTTATTCGTTTTTCAAATTGTTGAGAAGCAGAGTTAAGCAGCGGAAACGTCGGGCCGTAATTAAAATAATTTTCAAATGAGTTTAACTAATATATATCGCGTTTTAAACCGTTAAAGTGTTTTATTTGAATGTGTACTACTCGCGTAAACTACAGACAACATTAAAGAGTTAGTTACCAGGTATATTATTTTTTGTGTCTATGGTATTGGATCTAAATATTATATCAATATTGGACTATTTTAGATTTGGGACTAAACATATAAAATTTGGATTTTGACCTTTTCAAAATTGCTATCCCAAGTATTCTTATCTATTCTTACTTAAGATATCTTCATCTTCGAGCAATATTTAAAGACAGGCTTTTTAAACAGTATTACGGGCACAGAAATATATTCGCCCCATGTTCCACGGAGAGAATCGGAATTTAACACACACAAAAAAAAGTTAAATCAAAACTCCACATTTCATAGTAGGTACGTTTTATTAACATTTAAAAACACTTTGTATTCTCAAATGACTGTCCATTACACACTGTATAGAAAAATAGAATATCCCAAGTTACAGTTGCGTAACTTATAAAAGTGGCGCAGTATCGATAACTTAGAATTTTACAATATTGTAGCAGAAGTAAGTTGCAAGTTGCAAATCGATTTTACGTAAGTGGCCACGGCAGCAAAGTTGCATATGATAGCATAATAACTTTGAAACTTCTCATTCCGCCTTTCTATGTCAAAGAAAAGGAAATTTATAATAATGTTACTGATAAAAATTAAACCTTTTTTCGTCTTTTGCAAGAAGCCCTATACAATGAAAAAGGCCGGTAACCAAAGTTTAAATATGACCAAAAATTGAAACATTTTAACGGTTTAAAACGGGGAATGTTTCGTTCACTTACTAACAATTACAATTTCCATGATCACGGGGGACGGTCTGCTCAAAAGCATCCTAAACTCCTAACATCCTAACTCGGGGCGTAGTAAAATTAAAATTGTAAATAAGTCAACTAATACGTTTTGTGTTTTAAACCATTAAAATGTGGTTTATTTAATTTGTTCTACTCGCGAAAACTACAGATAGATATCGATAATAATACAATTAAGATTTTTTTTTAATGTTTGTCCGGATAATTTATATTTTATTAAAGAAATAGAAATAACTTAGTAAAACGGTAAGGTTTAAAGTGACTTTAAAAAGTTAATATTAGTATCTGAAACTATCTGTAGTAAACACTTTAAATATTCTAACATTTATTTATTTAGATATAACAGGAGATTGATAGACTTTTTTAGATTATCATACTTTACTGCACTTTGAATTTTATCACCACTGTATATTCGATACCTATAAAGGTGACGCAGAAAGTAAACACACGTACTTACCACAAAACATTGTAACCACATAGTGACCACTCCAATGTACAACACAATACTAACTGTTTGGTGTACTATTTGTTGACCATGAATGAATTAAGCTAGCGCATTAACCTTCCTTGTTAGGGTGATTATACACTAGAATTATAAGCAGCCGTGAAATTATACATTATACATCGGTTGCATCCTACAACGCCATAATATGTTCTTCATGTACCTATTAACTGGTAAGTATTCTAAGCGAGCCAAAATAGTCGACAGCTTAGATGTATATGGATGAGGTATTTCACCTTTTATCAAGTGAACCTTCATGGTTGTCTGTCCTCCCCTATATTAAAAAAAAAAGAAAGTTTTAAGCAGGAAAAAATATTATCTACATTTTTTTTTAATCGTGTGGCTCAAAAATTGTCTGTAGTTTACGCGAGTAGTACACATTTCAATAAAACACTTTTTTAACGCAATGTCAACTTTGACATTAGACTTTTACATCCTCCATCCTTGGTCCCCTCGTGACCACGGCTGCTGCAAAGTATCCGAACTGTCAGAACGCCCTGAAAATAAATGTTAATAAGTTAACTAGTATATTTCGCGTTACGGACCGTTAAGAGGGGTTTTATTTAAATATCTTTGATGTAACAATATTATTAGAGTCGCCTAGATAGATTTTTATATTGTATTTATCAAATGATTAAGTAGGTACCGCCACGAATATCTTTTTTATTCCAAGATATTTTGTTGAACACTTACTAATTTGACAGATAAATAAAATTCTTATTTCGCTGGTGACATAGATAGATGTGTTTTTATTAAGATTGTTCTAACACAGACGTTATAAAACAATACAAATCACATTTTTACAGCCTTTAGCGTTTACTGTAGACATTCCTTTACATTGCCAACACAAAATTGGCTAAATAAAATAGCCAACGCCTTCCTCAATTAATGATAGGACTCATAGAAGTATATAAATAGGTCTCGTCGTTTCATAATAGTGTCATCATACGTCTTTAGTAGTTAAATTATTATATAATGTCTTAATAATTCTTAAATTATTGCGCAAAAATTGTATGAATTTCTTTGGTACAACGTACCAATTATATTGAAGAATATATTTTCTAACAAATGGCGAAAACCAATAAGAAAGAAAAACATATATCTTTTACAACAAAATCTTTAATAAGTTATAGAGAAAAATAATGGAGAATTAAGTAGTATGCATTGTATGTTTGTAGGGAGTGGTATAATTAATAAATAACTTTTTGACGCGGTAGCTCAAATGATTAAAGCAGCTGCGAGGAACGCTATGAATGCCGGTTCAAGCCCCGCCTGTGTTGTACTTTTTTAAATAAAGAGATTTCACTTTTAACAGTATAGAACACAAAATATAATAACATCTATAATTTACCTACAACCTGACGTTATTAATTAAGCAAGTTTTAAACCGTTAAAAGTATTTTGTTTAATGTATTCATGTTTTTAGTTCTGACATTATCTCGTACAAAAACACAACAAATTTCACTGAAACTTTAATTAAACGACCTTAAGATAAAGCGCGCAGAAATAAATATTGTATTAGTAGTGAAACAAATTAGTCAGTCTTGGTTTTCTTTGCGTTTTCTTTGGAGATTAGAGGAAATTAATTGTTAGAGCTCAACTTTATCTTTATTTAACTCAAGGCTCGCGCACAAAAGGTATGTTTTAGTTATTTTTATAGAAAAGATTTTAGTTTAAAGAAAAGATAAAGATAGAAGCTATTCTGTGCTGGAAAAACTAAGTATAAACTTTCAGAATGTGTATTAGCCACTTTTAATGGAAAACCTGGCAGAGATTAACAAAAATATTTATAAATAAGTCAAAAAGAGTAAACATATTCATGGTTATGTTTAGTAATATATACACCACTGCCTCAGTGTAAATAGACGGAGAAACTCTGTCTAATAACATGTAGATGAAAAATTTCGTTCAAAATGTAGTTAAAAAAAATCTGTTTTCGTCCCTGTGCTTTCTAACTCCCAAGAGAGTAACAGACTGAAAAATGATAAATGTTTGGTACAAGATCAGTAATCAAACTCCCAATCTTAAGAAGATAATGATTAGACCGCCAAGCCACTTCTATTCGTTCGTTTTACGCCCTTGATTTGAATACTTGTAGTAAGTGTAAATTTAGAGATTTTAACTGGTGTGACGTCATAATTGTACCTAGTTACCTAAATCGTGAATAGAATTTTGACTTTGAGTATTTCTAAGAAGCTCTTAAGTTACTAACAGCAGTAGACGATATAACACAGCCTCAAAAATACATTATACTTTTTAAGACAGTCAAAAGATTATAAGTACGTCTTTATTATTTAAGATAATTCTATACTGTCTGCAGTTGACGCGAGTAGTTCATGTTTAAATAAAACGCTTTAACGGTTTGAAACACGATGTATATTGGTGTCTCCCCGAGTCGGAGGCTGCTGCGAAGTATCCGAAATGTCGGGCCGTATTTAAAATAATTTCTAAGTAAGTTTAATCTAAATACCTACATCTCGTTTTAAACCGCTAAAGTGTTTTATTTAAGTAAGATAATTTTATTGAAGTAAAGATAAATGGAGTTGCAACGATATTACATTGAGTATTATATCACGAAATTCTCTTTCCAGACCTCAGAGTGCAATTTAGTCCTAATTGTATGATAACCTGAATACCTAGGAGTTCCTATCGCGGTTTGCGTTTAAGTCTACAAGCTATATTTACTCGTTGGTACCACACTGAGGCGCTAATGCACAGTGAAATAATCGCCCGAGCAAAATACACATGTTCCGCGTGGGCGAAACATTTTTTTTTTTAATTTATTCATAAAGAAGTTTTGAAGATATTACAGTACAGAAAAACTGTGAAGTTTGTATATAAAAACTTTACTCTTGAATCACTCTATCTCATAAAAAAACGATTCAGAATCCGTTGCGTAGGTTTAAGGGTTTAAGAATATATAGGGACAAAAAGTGATTTTATTTTTTACTATGTAGTGATACGTAAGACGTTTTAAATAAAACTCAAGGCTTTGATATTCAAATTTTAGAATAAGTTTGCTTAGCTGTGCTCTGTTTTAACGAATCATTTCCCCAGGATTCGAATTTATAACTTCGTGCTTAGCACGCGTAACCATCGAGCTACGAAGGTGGTGCCTATAACATCGATAAAACAGTCATAGAACTGCAACCGCCACAGAAAGAGGATTTAACATATACATTTACGTCCGACTATAGATTAAATCTCGCCGGAAGAACAATACTTGAATAGCGACAACCCTAGCTGCAGGGTCCATAATTAAGAGGATTATTGTTGTTTGGAAGTCAGGAAACGGTGTCACGCCACTAGTTTTGATAACACAGTATTGTACGGACGCTTTTGTTTCGACACTAACTATTATTAATTATTATATCTGTGGAGGGCCCGACGCTTCTGAATTGTGCTCTGGAATTAACCTTTAATAAGATTTTCAATTCGATATTACTCTGAATAGACTTTACAATAGCGAATAACTTTATATAATATTTAGTACACACTTTTAATAATTGACAATTGACATTAGGCACACTCTCCATCTTCAGTGCCCACATGACCATAGCGGATTCTTATGCATTAATTACTATGTAATCGAGACTCATAACAATTATAACTTCTGCAAAATACATTATTCATATAATTGTTTACATCATTTCACATCTTGAAAGACTCGGAAATCTACAGACTGAAACCGAAGCGCAATTAATTTTCACAGATTTTTCATATATCAAAAAGTCAACATTGTTACCTATTTAATATTCAGAATGTTTCCAAATGATACATATCTATGTATGTTCTGTGTAACTGTTTTGCTCTATAAATACACAAAAGCAAAGCGTCTTCTAAATATGTGCTATGATTTTTTTATTTCAATTTCGCATAGAAATCCAGGAGGAAATAAGACGGAAGTTAATTGTCTATAATGTATGAGGTGCGAGGCTGCGTGTATTTTTCACTGGCAACACCAAATGTGGTTGCGTTGGGGGGTAATTCATTTATTTGATTGCATTTAATATTAACCTCATTACCGCGGGATTTGGCCTGTTGCGTGTTTGCTCTGAATAAAATATCGTCGCTGTGTCGTGCATAATTGTATCGTATGAAAAAATATTACGTTAACACTTTTGTATATTAATACCTGCTTTAAACAATTGCAGGTACTCTGATGACATAACGGCACATGGTAAGTCTTGTTTAATAATTCAATTTATATACCCATATACTTTTACATTTTAATGGTTTAAAACCTCGAAATATATTAAGTTTCGTTTTGACTACGAGACGACGTTTCTGATGCTTTGCAGAAACCATAATCACAGGGAGAAGGGTAAAAATAAAAATAAAGTAATATGTATCACTATTTCTTAACATTCAGGTTTTTATAACTTTAGGTTGCCTGAAAGAGATCGATTGTTAGCGATAAGGTCGCTCATTGCTCTCCATTCAAGTATATAAGTTTAATTTGTAAATTGTTCTGTTTAGTGCAATAAAGAATACATAAATAAATAAAGAAATATTATTTTGTCTACATATATGGAAACAGGCACTGTTAACTTATAGATTTTATTATCTGTGCCATGCTTGGCCGAAATTATTGTTCAATCCTAGGCATCGTTTAACAATTGAGCAGTAAAAGGTTTTCAAAAGTTCTAAATAGTTTGTGTCGATTAGACCATTTAGTGAGGAAGGCAATACGACATCAAGTTACGACCAACAGGAGCGGAGATACAATGGAAAAATGGAAAAAACGGGGGTAATTGTTAATCTTTAAAGATTTCCTTTGGTTACCCTGCAAAAACGGTTCAAGATATCAAAAAATATGTATAAAGGACTTATTCTTCTCTTTTAAAATGTCCCCGATAGTTTAATATATCTATGTTTTAAGATTAACTTGCAAGAACGATGGAACGCGATCAACATCGTAGGTAACAGCTATATTTTAGGAGGAGGTTTGCAAAAACTCATTAT